TGCAACTCCAGCCAATTAGTCATCTTAATCTTATAATGTGCTAATGGTTGGGGGTCCGCCCAAGCTTTCTCGATCAATAGAGCTGTCAAATTTCCCCTCTCCCCGATCCATGCTGTCTTTCGAATCCCTTCATCCGACCCCGTAGCGTAGTGAGGAGTCTGCATTTCAGAACCTGCAGCTATCTCCAAACCAAGCCCTCGAAAGAATCTAGTGGTTACAGAATCCTCCAGCGGGGAAGGTTAAATTGACTTGCCCTACTGATTTAAGGGTAGGGGAATACCTATTATTAGCACTTAGAATCGATGATTTCGCGCACCCACCCAGGCACTGGAGAAGGCTTATGATTTGGAAGGATCACCTAAACCTAGAGTCGAAAATTATTTATCTCTCCCTCACCCACAGCAATGGTTATCCCCGTTATCACCTGAATCCTACTTATTCCATGGAAAATGGGAAATGTCGAATTCGGAAGGCGGGGTAAACGGAATGAAGTACATAGAGCCTCATGATAGTCCTTATCCGTGTGTACCGATCCCACCTTCACAGCACAAAATCCCCTTTTCCTCTGGGTTCTTCCCGGGGTACAGTAAGATTCGAGCAAGATGGAACCGAAATCCTTTGTATTGGCTTTGGGCCATAAATGCTGAAGGTTCGGGCGCAACCCTTCTCTACCGCATTTATGGCCCAAACCTGTTTGCACGCCTCTTGCGGAACGAGATCAAACTAAAACTATTAATGCGGATGGAAATGGCATGGAAGCGAACGAACTAGGAAAGCAGCATGGAAAGCGAGGCTCGTAGCACCCCCCATTCATCTTCGGTTAGGCGGTAAGGGACGGGACTCTTATCCCCCGACTAAGGTGCTTCCATTCCCTACGTATGCCGCTACATGCCTTCGCCGCATCCTCTCATGCCCGGTCCAGAACGTCACATCTTACCATGATTGGTGGGAACGCGGTTTCTCATGATAACTGGGGTTAAGCTGTCCACTCGGGGTGGAAGGTGCGTGCTGCTGAAACTTCTTAAGGATATGCTGCTTCCACCCGACCAATCGGTCCTGGCCCAGATGCTAATTTAAAAGTGTTCACACGCCAACTGGGTGGTAAGCAGCAGGATCTGGATCAACTGGCACGGTATATTATGCATCCGGGGTGGTATCCGCTCGAACTACTTATGGAATTAGGTCAATCGGTGAACCTCAAACCGGCTTCCAAGGATTGAGATAGGCAGAGTTCCCTCACCCTAGCAGCGGAATTGAATCAGAAAGCAAGACAGAATAGGCTCTTACTGCTCTAGAAAGAACTTCCCTTGAATCAACTGCTATTGATATTAGCTGTGGGACTTCGGTGCCTTAAGCGGAAGAGGGGATTTCTTTCTCTAGCGACTCTGGCTGCTACGCTCCTTTATTATTCTTTTTTTCACCTTGAAGAAGTGAGTGAAGTCAAGCTAGCGTCAGCAAATCGGACATAAGCAATACACGTAAATCCCCGTCCTTTAGAAAGACGATAGCGATTCTCTTCCAGTGCTTTAATTAAGAGTTCAAAGAGTAACCTATAAGAAATAATTGTAGGAATACCCGGAGCGTAGCTCTATCGGAACTGACCTCAGCGACTTTAACTTACTATCGGCTTCGGACCGAAAGAGAGTGAGATGGAATCCATCAGAGATCTAGCATTACGCAATCTTTCTAAGAAAGTAATTTAAGTCATCGATTGACTGCTATTCCCACTTCTTAGGAGTTAAAGGCTGGAAGTTCTTTTCCTAGGTTGACTCATGAGTTAGTGTGCAAGACCGGCTCTCCTCTTTCTTAAATGTTCTAACAGTGGGATTTTAGCTTTTCTGGATTTCCCACCAATTCCTTAGATCCCTAGTCTTAGAGCTAAAGGAAGTCCTCTAACTAATCTAATCCCCCGAATGAGAAGGCGGAGTTCTCTTTCCTGTGCTATCAATAATAAGGAAGGAACTCTTTCTTTTAGGAATAATTAAAGTGAAGACGTTCAGCTACCATAGAATCAACAGACTCCTTCTTTATCTCCTGCATGAGATCTTTACTATTGGGGATATTTTTAAGAAAAGAAGACAGAAGGTAGTTTACTTGCTTACTTGTTAGAGTAAGGAAGAAAGAAGGCTTACAGGCAGGGACTTAGAAGAGGGGTTATTCCTTATTAGCTAGCTTCGCCGGACTTACTTCAGGTTCTAAAGGAAGGGTTATGACTACCTTTAACTCGCTCACTCGGGCGCAATACCCATCCTTCTTGAGCTTCCCATTAACCCATTTAATGCGGATTAAAGGATGAGCTAGCCCTCCGGAAGACATATATATAGGTTTCAAAACAACCAGTTGCGGAAGAGCAGCTAAGCATCAAAAGATAGGAATAGAATAGCGGATCTTTACTCCTCTGGGCGCTCTACCTCTTCTTGTCTTGAAGGGAATTCACGCACTCGGATTCGGAAGAAGGCATTCCAGGCAAGAAAGCCAATCAGGGAGGAAAGCAAGTCAGTCAAACGGTAGCAAGCCAGTTCTTCCGATTCCGATCGGTCCTAGTCAGCCTCTTTCCTGTCTCAGTCTGTGCTTTCTAAGAGCCCCACGGAAGGAAGAAGCCAGTACGTATAGGGGCGAAGCCACAGCAGCGTACGGGAATTGGGATGGGATCATGCCCATTACAGTAGCGTGAAGCGATAACAGAAAGCGGACAGTCCCAGATCCGGTCCATGTGAACTCGGTGATTAGACACCGAGATTCATATTACTCTTCTCTTCCTGTGGCCCAGCAGGTTAGGCTTTTTATATTAAAATAAGGCATGCTGGGGGAGTGCATGATCAGCCATAAGGGCGGCAGGAGTCAGCGAGACGTAGCAAGTAACCCGTCACATATAGGATTGTCCTGACAGACAAATCATATGCGCCCAGAGCTCATGGTCCATCAGAGGTCAAAAGGCCATTGAAAGAACGAGCAGAGTGGCCATTTCATTCAGCACTATCTCAACATACATAAGCCCAGCAGACGTAGGCTTCTAATGGTTGATCGCATTCCGCAACTGTAACGGATTCACCCTACCCTAGGGGTTCTTCCCTCTTGTCCTCGGCAACCAGCAAGTTTATCCTTCATCGGACAATCTCGTGCCTGAGGAGGACTCTTACAAATGAAAGAGCCAGAGTCCGCCTTAGAAGGCCTTCTCTTCTTTGCTGTCCATCTGTGTGAGAGGCATTCTTCAACTTCTGGCCCGATTTCTTCTTGTCAATTTCAACCCCTCTGTTGTGCACTAAGAACTTTAGGAAGTTTCCTGCTGTTACGCCAAATGCATATTTTTACGGGTTCATCTTCAAGCCGTGTTCTCGCGCTCAAACACTGTCTTGAGATCAGACAAATAACCCGAAACAGGGAAAGACTTCACAACTACATCGTCAATATACACCACCTCTACGATGTTGACAATAAAGTAATGGAAGATGAGGTTCATTGCTCGCTGGTAGGTAACTATAGCGTGATTCAGACCGAAGGGCATCACCTGCCAGCATAATAGTCCGTCCAACAGCACCCGGACAACGGAACGCTGTTTTTGCCTCGTCCTCTTTGGAGATGAAAAGAAGGTTATACCCTACCGTCCATGAATGACAGAATTTATTGCCCACAAGCTCTGTCCACTAACAGATCAGCGATTGGCATTGGGTTCTCGTCTTTTTTTTGGTGGGGCAAAAAGACGATAGATAAGGGGATCTAATGCGAACCTTGACGCCCGACGGGCGATAAGGGTAAGGTAAGGGACAGAACCAATGCTGTGTGTAAAGATGCAACGAGGAAACCTCTTCCCTTCCGATTCCGAGTCCGAGTCCGAGTCCGAATCCCGGTCGAAAACCGTGCAAAGACGTATGAGGATACTGCATCTCGTAACGGTAGAAAGAGGAAAGGCTAAGCGAAAAAGGTTAAGATTGCTTAATGAGTTATGGCCACTAGTCATTCGGATTTCTCCTTACTCATGTAAGTCTTCTCACTGGGCATTTAGCTAGCCTATATCTCCGCTTTCGCTTCCGTACTCAACCGTCTCGCTCCTTAGTCCGATCTAGCCTCTATTGATTGAGAGGGTTGAAGACTCCTTTTATTTGATTAATGCAATTATGAATTCCACGGAACTTTATCGATTCCAACGCAACTTATCCTTTTGGAGCTGACGTAACAAACTACGCGAGCCTCCCGACGAAGCCAACATAAATCCTATCCGAATCAAAAAAATAAAAGGCAGTTTAATTATGGTGGTATACCAGCCGCCTGTTCTGGAACTTCCAGTTCCAATCGAAGCATATCTATCCGTAAATGGATTTGTATGTATAGCCACTTCAGTCGTGCTCGTTCTTTCTCTAAAGTATCTTTTTTCTGGGAACATGGTCAACCATAAATTATTATGTTCGCGATTCTTCATCCACCGATGCAGAAAATGCTCAAGTTTTCCATTCTCATATGAGGCCGGAAAGTTTATTGGCAACAGGTCGGCACGAAGTGATTCATCATGCTCAAACATGAGGCGATCGTTCGTTAGGGACGGTTTATAGATCATCAAATTCCCAAAAATGGAATGAGAAGTGGGTCCATGTAAATGATCGAGACCTCGGAAACAACAACGCTCCTTCCCCATATGGAGTTCGGAACCCAAAGGCAATCGTTGAGTGAACTGTATCTTCTTTGTGTTAGTTGACCTAAGCCGCACCATTACTGCTGGGGTGGGGCTCGGCCTCCGAACCGTACGTGGGGCGAGTTTCTGCCTCATACAGCTCGGGCCGAAGACCGGGGGAAGTTTAGGAGAGATGGGGAGATCCAGCAGCTGCCGGTCGGGTTTTTTGGGGGGATTTGCTTCTTCACAAGCTTATCCCCCCCAAAAAAACCTTTCTATACTATAGCGCTTCGCGTTCTTTCTATTTCATCCCATTTTTTTCGGGATAGGCGGCGAATACTAATCTAATAAGTGAAGTAGTCGTCGTCTGACCAATTGGCTCGGACACCAGACCGCTCGTGCCCGCCCATTCTGTCTCGCCCTAAATGGAATGGCTCTCTTAGTTACGCTGCGCCCCGGTCTGAGTCCCCACGTCTGCTCTTCTCCGCCCGCAACCCAAGAAGTTGGCTTTGCCAACACAACATTAGGGCCGTCCCCTTCATTCTATGCCGACCCCGGCCCAACAAAAGGAGAAGGAGGGGGCTGGCTTTTTGGGAAGCCCGTTCCCACCGCATCCTTGCTCACGGCCCGGCTGGCCTTCCTGCGGTAGTGGGAATTATCCCGTTCCCTGGTCAAAGACTTGGTTGGATGCGGGATCTACTCCACGAGGAGCGGTACGGACGTAGATGATATCATCACGACCTCTCTTTTCGTACCGCTAGGGATGCTTAACGCCACTTCGCCAACTGGCGTTACCTGCGCTTTCGTGTCTCTCAGTGTGGTCAGCACTGGGTGTTTCCGAGCAGCGAGGCTTACACCCATTCGCATTAGTTCATCCAAAGTTCCTTACCCTTATGCACGAATTATTGAATAAGCCATCTTCCTATCAAGGTTAAGGAGTCAACTGAGCATCTCAGCGGCGGGATTGAATACCCGGATCGAGTCAGAGTTCACGCCGCCCGCCCTGAACAACAAGTATAGGAGGCGTGGGCCACAGGTCGCACATAAGCCGCCGGGTCGCACGACAGAAGAACACCCAAAATACAGATGCACACTCCAAAATGTGAAATATTAATCTTCATTGGAGCTTTTTGGTGGTAGTCGTGACCAACAGCCATCAGCAGTCGGCTCGTTGGTAAGGCGAGAGCTTCAAGCCCGATTTCAGGTTCAGGTGGCACACCCCCCACACAAGCACCACCCGACGAAGGGGGGACGGGGAAAGCTACAGGCCCAAAACCTTCGACCCTTCTTTCTAAATGGGGGTGCCCGGAGCACCTCATCTTGTCATTTCGTTGTTGCTCATTCCCGTTAGGGTTAGGCCGAAGTGTTTGGCCTTTCCTTCTCCGCGCCCGCTCACGCTTTGCTGACCTATCGCGTGGTAAAGAGAAGAGAGTACGAAAGAATAGTAAACAGAGCACACCGCAGAAAGATTCTAAATATGATAAGTCCCCCTTGGATTCGAGAAGAAGGAAATGAAGAACGGGAACGAAACGAAATGAGGCGTTTCCAGCTCTAGTTTCGGATGAGCTTCTCCCAATTATGTCTGGTAATAGAATAGGGCGGCTTGCTCTGACCAAGACTCCACTTTTTGCTCCGTCCATGGAGCGTATGAATTTCCTGGAATGTAGATAGACCAAAAGAGGGAATGAAGGGATAAGAATAGGAATTATAAGACCATTGGAAAAAGGGGCACCTGTGGGAACATCTCTACTGACGAACCATTTCAATAGGAAGGGTGCTGCCGTGCCACGAGGCACGACCATAGAAGTAATGAAAAATATAAAGTTATGTAGTTGGACCATCTGCTCTATCCGTTCGAGTTTCGCTTCTCTAGAGAAGATGAGACGCTAAAAATGAAAGTGTTCGCAACGCATACCGAAAGGATACCAATGAAGCCGACCATTAATGACTAGTTCGAACACCAGGAGCGGTCGGATCCCTTATTTGATCAAAGAGACTGCTCACAGGGGTCTTGAACCACCTCTTCCCTCCTGCCCTTCTTGAAGGAATTGGTCTTTTTGTTGTCCCTTGTTCTCATTCCAGTCTCGGTCGATAGGTAGGCGCTGTGAAAAAGATTCCCTTCCTACAAAAAAGGAAAGGACAGACAGCAGGGAAGGAGATTCTTTGAAAGCCTACTACTCTTTTGCCCTTAGCTAGCCCATTTAATTTTAAACTTTTTAAGAGGTGGTTAGGACATCCAATCCAGGAATAGGAAGTCGCCCGTTTTCGGGTCTGTTCCTTGGCCGAGGGGTCCTGTTCATCAGGGTCCTTGTGGATAGGGTTGGATGAAGCAATACCGGGATTCCGTGGGCATCAATACCATCCGGATTCTACCCGCTGCTTTGGTGGGCTTCTATCGCCATTTTATGACCCCATCGGACCGATGGGATCGGGTCGTTTATCGAGCATTACAGTGATCTCTGGCGGCCATATAATGGCCTCATGAATAGATAGCATAACCCTTCATGCTATGAAGTTAAAAGCGGAGATAAACCTTAATCTGATGGCTTGCACGGTAGTCATCATTTCACATGATTGTCATCGTTGCATTTAAAATATATATAATTTTTTTATTTTTAAAGGCCGGTCCTTTTCTGTCCCCCCGACCGATGACTCGCTTGTTCAGTACCTGCTAACTATTATAGTATAGGAGGATGCCGTCCCGTCCCTCGGGACTACCAGTAGTTTCGGTTGTTGAATCTCGTGCAAGTTAGGTTGTGCTTGTATTGGCTGCAAGCGGAACGTAGGGCGCTTTAGGTAGGTGTGTGTTGACCATGCACTCTCGCGTCATGTAATGTCGTATGTATGATAGAGGTGGTGTGGTGATTGACCTCAATGCTAATGGTTATCCCCAAGGTTCAACGAATGAATGAAGCTATGATCGTACCCGGATAGAAATGACGGTCTTCCTCTGATGTCTCCAAGCCGGCCATAATAGAATAGATAGGCAAAGCAGCCAATAGCAGTTTTAGCCTATCGATAGATAGTAGGTTGCTTCCAAGCTCAAACCATTTGAAACTAAATTGCTACTGTCTTATTTTTATTGATAGAATGGTCTTCTCCGCCCCTGTCAAATAAAGTAGAGGGAGAGAACTGGAAGAGAGAAGGAAAAAGAGCAAAGGATTTACAAGTCTAACATCTGGGAGAGGAATGCCTTAGTTATCGTGCACGTTGACTGCCTTCGAGAAAAATAGAACCCAAGCGGTCTAAGCCCCGGGACGGACCCCAACCGAAAGAAAGGCTAGCGCCTTTCCCTCTATCAGGCTAACGGCAAGCGAGATAAAGAAAGCAGCCGGCCCTATGTGTCAAACCTTGCCGCGGGAGAGTCTTTCTCCAATGAGAATCAAGCAAGTTTTTGGGCAAGACAAGAAAGGAACTCGCCCTTTGACACCACACCAAGGGATAAGAGCTGATTGCTGGCGATGACTTGGTGAAAGGAATATATGAGAGAAGGTTCTCAAACCGGGTTCCGCTTGGAAATCTAAATAGTAAGAGCGCGGACGCGGAACCAACGAGTTCAGTCGAACAGCGTAACGAGTCTAAGGTTACAGAAGCGTTCGCCTACTTTGATAGGTAAACGCATTGCAAGCAAATAGAGCAGAGAGCTTACCGTCTTTTTCTATTAGAGTCGCGAGCTTGGCTTGTTGTAGTCGGTCCGTGAAGAGAGAACTTGCTGCTTACTTGCTATATCCCGCGTTCTTGCACGGCTCGTTCTTCGAGCCCTGCTTCTCCCGTCCCCCTCTCCTTTTTTACTTTATCGTCCAAAACAAGGCCGTATGGAGTATAGCCAAGTGGTAAGGCATCGGTTTTTGGTACCGGCATGCAAAGGTTCGAATCCTTTTACTCCAGATTATGAACACCCGATCGGATCTGTCAAGAACGAGCTGACGACTACAGGGGAAGCGGCTGATTGCAGTCCCTGAGCCCAGCCCCCGGAGCCGGAGCCGGAGGGGAGGAATGCATGGTTCCCTGGCGCTTCATGGGACGGGCGTTCGCAGTCCCCCTCCCTCTAATCTAACCCTCCCCCGCTCCCCCATACGAATTTGAACTACGATCCCCTGGAGCAAAGGCTGTGGATACACTTTTTAATGCTGTCACCGAAAGTGTAAAAAAACTAAATGTAAGACATAAATATCCCTGCCGGAAAACAGGACATATTCAAAAATAGTCGAGCAGGTCATTCATTGGGGATCCGGCGGATCTACGTTATGTGAGATTTTTTCTGATATTACGGAGTATGGCTTTGCCAGTAATTACTTTCACGAGGCATTAACCTCTATTCTATTGGGGGCCGGGGGTTGGTGGATAAAGAAAGATGGACAGTAAGGATTGCGTAATATAAATTTTTCGGCCTCGCTTAGGTTCCTATCGATTCTCCCCGGATTTGAGGATCACCTTTGACCTGCCCGACATGCTGTTGACTTGGAGATTAATTCTTCGGCCGTACCTTCTGCGGTCGTTACGCTTGGTCGGTCATGCTGGGACCAAAGAAAAGTAGAAGCCTCAACCGTGTCGAAGGCATTATAACTACAGTAGCATTAAGACCTCAAAAATCAACATCTACATCCCGTCGCTACCCTTTCAGCCCTTTAAATGTTCATCTTCCCGCGTGAGGGTGATCAGCGTTCTCGTTCACGAAGCCAACCGAGTTGCTCATGGGAAGGAGCATGTGAGGGAGAAGGACCAAACTTCGTCTCTTCGAACGGAGCCCAGGTTTCCTTTTTGATACTATGTAAAACCTCCTCATCAACAGACGTTTCCCGAATAACCATTCATTTCATGAAAAACCTGCGCTTGTTAGCAGCTGAATCACTCTCTCCTCTCGTAGTGGGCCTCTTTTCTTTCCCTTCCCCCGCTGGCATGAGGAAAGGGTCCATTCCACTAGCTCTTCTTCTTGATTAAAGAGAGGGGTGCGCTTTCCCCTTTGAATGAGTAGATCTTCCAGCCCCCGTGCCTACCTTTACTCAATGCTCCTGAAGTCCGAAAAGGAGACTGTGAGTGGACAGGGGGCAGGGAAGTTCAGTTACAGAAATGGTAGTCGTGGACTGGTACCGCATGCCTACTTTTGGTAATCCTTATTGTGATCCCTCACTCTGGGCTAAGATAGTCTCTTAAGTGCTAGCGTGACGGGAGAGCAAATAGCAATGAACCTTATCTACAGTATTAGTTCCCTCCTACCAAGAACTAAACAAGTTCTCTATGCGGGGAAAAGGGTACCGATAGGCGGATTGACGCATCTGAGCAGGCAGGGAAGACTTAGTGCTTGGAATATAAATGCTATGAGGCTTGGGCGAGAGAGCAGGTCTAGGAGGCCCAGATATTGCATCATGTGAAAGCAGCGAAAAGACCCATAAGAGCTGTAAACAAGTGAGATAGGCACGAAAGGGGGGCATTCTGGGGATGTCTCTTTCATCAGCCAGCACCTTCAACAGCCAGTAGGAAAGATGCCGACACGGATTCGATTCAAGATTCAAGATAGGGTACGCCCGATGACCAGGCAGGGCGGCACAGCCCCCAACCAAGGGGGCTAGCAGCTCTTTTATCCGCTGCTGTCTCTGCTCTGACTGACGAAGGAAGATGTGACCGACTGCATTAGCACTTGTTGAATTGGTCTTCTTTGAGTGCAATAAATTCGAAGTAGTTCAAATAGCCCTGATCGACGATGCGCGCGTCAGTCCCTTCCCTCTCTCTTGGCCGGCCTATTCTTGTCCAGTAACCATTCTTTCGTTAAGAGTTCCGCGCTTTCCAAGTGGTAAGGCATCGTATAGTAGAAAACATAAATCGAGGCATAGAATATAATAAAAGGCGGCTAGGACAGAGAGGCTGTACGTATAGAGAAGGAAAGTCTATTTTTCCCAGAGTCTAGCTAACTCTAACCCAAGATTAATCTGGAAGAGGTTCTTCTTCTTTAGTAGCAGATTCGGATTCTGTATAAGAAGGACAGTCTCAACCCTTGAGTACGAAAGAAAGTAGGCTCTTCCTTTATTTAATTTATTATAAATACGCTATTCTTCCCATTCCCATCTCGGGAGAAAAAAAAAGAAGTACGTCGACGACTATTCAATAGCTGGGGATCTTGCTAAAAATTAAACTCCTAACCTTCAATCATCTAACCGTGTAGTCTTTAAACTCCCTTTTGGCCATTGAAAGCTGTCCAATTGCAGCTTATTATGCGAACTCTTCTGCTGCAGCAGATTCAATTCATTCCGATCCTTTAGATCCGATGCAACAAGATCAGCTCTTTCTCTGGCTCCCTTACTTGAAACCTTTTAGTCGATCTAGTCAGTAAAAAAGTTTTCAACTCCGATCCTTTCAGCCCTAGTTTCGCTGTAAGCCAACGCCTTTAGTCGATCTGGTTGTTAGTCTCGTTCCTCTTTAGTCTAGCTGACAGCTTTTCCCTTGACTCGCCTCTATGCGCCTGCTTTCCGAAGTAAATACAAGATTCTCTCTTTCCTCTAAGTCGAGTTCCGTTCCCTCGTTTACTGCTTTCCGATAAAGATATGCCCCGGTATTCAATTCAATAAAGTAGGGATTTCTTCCCTTCCATGGCAAGTTTAGGCTTAGGAAGATTTGATCTTTGTTCCATCTAGTGAAGTAGATTCCAATTCCGGTGAAGAGAAGAGTTAAACTCCGATAGCTACAGGCCTTAGCCCCAAACTAAGAAGATATCCCAAACCCCTACCGCTACCGGTCAAGCTTATTTTGATATGGAGCTTTCCCCGGATTCTCTTGAGGTCGGGGTTGAAGAATCTGGGTACTCAACAATGGGTTAAGCCTTTAGCTACGGCTGTTGGGGCAAGTCAGTCTTTAGCAGCCTAAACTAAAACTAAACAAACCTTAATGCCTCCAGGCAGGAGTCTTCCCCACCGAAGACTTTTTCTCGGACTCGGAATCGGAATCGGAAGGAGGGAAATTACATAAGAGGGGATTCCTACTCTCTTCTCTGGTATTGATGCCACCTCAAAAGTATATTATCAGAAGCTTTCCTCTCCGCCCCTACCCCCGCACAGGCTTTGTCGAGCTTCTTTCCTGGCTTGATGAAGTTAAGTTACTCGCAGCAACTCTTCGAACCTATACTAGCTCCTTAAACTCCTCTCCTTGAAAGACAGGATGAATCAGAAGAGCGACTTTCAGTCTTAGCCCTAGCGTGGGTGAGTGGTTTATTGAGCACAGGCCCTTCCACTCTGTCGATACCATTCCTTGTCACTTCGAGAATTTATTCAAAAAGTAGCTATGTCTCCCTACCCTAAAGGTAGCTGTGTCCCCCCTCCTTTTTCCCAATTAGTCTAGTCGAGCAGCCTTCGCTCCAACACTGCTTAGGCGAGCTCTCCTATCTAAGGGAAAGTCTCTCTTCCACTCCTCCCCTAACCCTTTAGCCTCGCTTGTCCCCTCCAAACAAACCTTTCTTGTGATGAAAGAAAAGAGGTTGATGCACCCTCAGGTGTGGAAACTTTTAAGGCTTCGGTCGAATACCCTCCGTCCTACCCAGGAAAAACCTTCCTCTTCTTTCAGTTCTAGTCGCATCTTCGGACCTATTCCTTAAGGTCGGAGCTAGTCATTCCTACTAAAGGAATTCAACAACTAGTCCCCATTGTTAGCTTCGATTTATGCCCTTCGATCCTCATACCATACTGAGCTGCCTAGCTCCAAGACTTGTAGTGGAGCCTCTAAATTTTCCTAGCCTATGGGGAATACAAGGGGGAATCCTCACAGTCAGATAGCTATGAGTGAAAGAAGAAAGAGAGTTTCGAGTTTACCGTAGCTACTTCTTCCCCTAGCATGACTTTCCCGGTTGGGGAAGATAAAGAAGTTCCCCTCCAATCCAACACTTATTAGTCGAGTAGTAACCCCCTCTCCATCAAAGCACCTGCACTTCAGAGATTGATTGGTTGAACCAGGAGTCTCATCCCCCTATAAAATAAAATACCTAAGAGTTAGTTATTGTTATGACCAGCCGAAAACTGGTCCTCCAGATGCCTTCTAACCGTCCTTTTAGCCTATTCCCGCTTATGCTTACTTCATGGCTGATAAGCCTACAGACGCTTGACGCCCCGGAATAGCCTTGCTTTCACGTTCCCCCTCTTTCCTTAGATCAGGTTAGCGCTTATGCTGCTTTACGCAACTATATTCAATCCATTGAGTAGAGAGGGCAATGGAATCAGTCGTCATCCTTCGCTCTTGTGGGACTCGAATCCACTACATAGGCTTTTTTTTCCTTGTTCTACCGAGATGAACTAAAGAGCGTGAAGGTATTTAACCAAGCCAATGGAGCTTGCCTGGTCTTTCTCGCCTTTCACCGAGTCTGGGATCGATCCCATCTACCATTTCGACAGGAGATTAGATTAAACAAGTGCTTTTTCCTCCAACCTTGAGCAATTCGTGTGAACAGATTCAGGTGCGTAGCCTTTTTCCACTATGCCTATCGCCTTGAGCTGGCACTCCTAACCTAAACCATTTAACCGGCACTCCTCCCCTTTCCTTAAAAAACTACTTGCCACTTCCGACAACAGCTAAATCTATGGCACTTGCCTTGGCTTATTCCCTCGGGTACTCCCCCTTTTTTTAGAATAAAGTTCAAGCATCATCCTATTAAGTAAGGTCTTGGCGTGGCCGCTCTTTTAAGGTAAGCTTTCTTTCCCATCTCTCGTTTCAAGTTCGAATGCTTTTCTGCTTTCTTAACTGTACGAATACGAATAGGAAGCTTGGCAGCTCTGCCAAAAAGGTAGTGAAGATCTTAGCCTGAGAATAAAAGTGATTGTTAACCGGCTTCGCGAAATCCTTTACCTTTAGGCTTACTCGTGGCTAGGCACCTGCCTTCTCCTCGATCAACTATCTACCTCTGAAGAGAGAAGCCTTAATTAATAAATGTAGTTGCGTTCGTTCTCTTTGAAAGTAGATCTTAGGTCGATCAGGTTGCCGGCCCGCAGACCCCATTTCGGAGCCATGCCATGAAATGAAGGAGAGACCCGAACAGAGATCCATATTTCCCTTTCTTTCTCTTGTATTGCTTCTTTTGGTCTTCCTTTTCCACTTTCTAAGGAAACCGTAACGATAAACGGACACTTGTCGTGTGGACAGTCTATCGGGTCATCTGGATCTACTATGGATTTATGACTGAAATCAGTAGTAATTACTCGTACCGGATTATCTGTTTTAGTCCAATACCTTTAAAGGATTCACTGGTGCCCCTATCTAAATAAAGAAAATTACCCTGTAAATCGTCATAACCGAACTGCGCCATTATGTGTCCTGTATGGTTCTAACCACTTGGTTTGAAGCTTTCCAGGCGCTAAGTCAAATTTGTTAAGCAGCCTTTTCCAATTGCTTTCTGACGTAACTGCCTATCATGCCAAGCTTGACGCTGTTGCTGTTGCACAGGCGGTTGCGATCTTCCTCGGGCTATCATTCCGCTAATACGAGGCTAACCCGGGATCCGCCACCCGAGACTCCTTTCCTGTCTGATTCGGTTTCGTCTCCAGCCAGCTAGCCTGATGAAGTTCGCTCATCTCTTTCGACGAAAATCCTTGTCGTCCTCTTTTGAACCAGAACTAACCTCCTATCCGCCCGAAGAAGTGCTCTCTCTCATCTGAAGGTCTATAGGAGAAAGGGCTGGTCTTGGTCGAGATTCATAGGAAGAATCTTTCTCACATCCGGGGAGAGCGGAGAAAGGTAAAGCACAACTAGAATGCTTTTTCAGAAAGAATCCCACATAAATACATAAATAAGCTTCCGAAAGAAGTAATGCAATTGGTTGACCCAACAAGGTAACGGAGAGGAAAGACCCCTACCGCTAACTTATCTGTCCTACTGCACTGAAGTATTCTGCGAGCCCCTTAAAGGGATAAATTATGTTGCCGTATCGCTTGGATGACTCGCTTGTATGGAACACAGGCGCGAGTACCATGGCTGTCTATACTTTTTACAGAATTTAGGTAAGTTTGTTCGGTGAAACTAGTTCCCTCTGAATAGAACAAAAAGCCCCTTACCTGGTGGCCTTTGGCCAAAATGGCTGCTTGGGCATTAAAGCCATCGCGAACTAAAGCGGCTTCGATCCTTTCTTCTACAACTGCCTGCGCAGCTATGATGCTGCCCCATTCCTGGGGGGTCTAGTTTTTGCAAAGAGAATTGGTTGAGAGGCGATGGCCCAACTCCCTCAGACGCTCCTCAATGGGAATTAAGTGATTGGGAAGCTCAGGAATGAGGGGCCCACCTCCATCTGGCTGATCAACCTCAGGGGCAACTCCGGCTCCGGGGAGTCGGGCGCCGGTTGATTTACGCTCGCTTCGGAATCGGACGAGCCCACCGAGTTTCCGCCAGAGCTGGTTCCGAAGATCGATGTCCAGCCAAGGTGGTTATCCATCATATTCTTGCTCATCAAAGTCGTGTCCTCGGTAGCGAGGAAGGCCATTCTGACAACGAATCCAAACATCTGGCCAAGGTCAGACCAACGGAGCAGCCACTCTTAAGCAAGAGCCTCGAGAAGGCTTGATTGCCGACTGATAAAGCAAGCTTATGAAACATAGTTTTAAATACGTCAATTGAATCCAGCATGAGAAATAGACAATAGAAGACTGCAAGCATTGAAAAAAAGATAGCTACAGCTAAAGAATGACGACGAATCCATTCGGAATCTTTCGAACAATGAACCTTAGTTCTAGTAATTGCCATAGCGTTGCCTTTTTTATTTTTTATTTTTTTCTAATTTGCTCCGCTCGTCCGTGGCACTCCTTGCTGGCGGAGCGGCATACCGAAAAAAAGGAAAAAGCCCTTTCTTTATCGGATTCGAACCGATGTTGCCTATTTCTTAAGGGCGAACTGATCGACTTGCATGTGTTAAGCATCTTTCTCAAAGTAGCATGATTGGACCTTCCTCTTTCTCTTACTTAGATAGAGGAGAGAGCACGTAATACTTTCCGAGATTTCTGTTCTGTTCCAGGGAGAGGTCTGAGATTCAATATTCCATCACTTAACAATCAATCTAACTTTCTATCTCGATATCTTAGGCCGATCTCAGGTTACCGGCTCTCCGGCCTCATTTCGAGGCACGATTGGAGAGCTCATTGGGCCTGTCAGTTTCTCAATCGCCAGATAGAAAGCGTCTGAGATGCGATGTTCTGATTACTGTTGTTGTTTATGTAATTTTCAATGCTTCTTCTCATTCCTACTTGCTTCTTTCCTATTTGTCACTGAACTGATCTTTCAGAGAGGGAAGATGATGTTCTTAGCTCGAGAGATAGCCCTATTTTGCCAACTTTCAGCCCTCTCCCTATGGTCGAGATACTAGTAACCTCCGCTGAGGTCACATTCACGAGAATCAGATAATCCGTCTTCCCCGTGCTAGGAGTTTTAAGCTTTCTTTGCCCAAATAGGTTGCTAGGAAGATAATTGCTAAATTCCCTATCGCTGCTATCTGCTATCGCACCTATAGCTTTCTTCCTCTTACGAGCTAAATCCATTCTCGGACTATCGGTTGAGCTACATATTTCAATGTGAACTAGAAAGAAACTAAGGCCCTACTAGCAACTGACTGACTACTGACTTCCTGACTTCAAGTATGATTCGTTCGTGACCTATAAGTGAGCAAGTCTTCGCCCCTTGCCATTCAATAGCAAAAGCTGTAGTTACTACACTCTTCTTTCTCTGATTATCTATCGTGCTGCCAAGAAGCAAGGTTACGCAGTCCTCTACCTATACGTACCTCTAAGAAGGAATAAAAGGCCAAGGCATCTTTTCCATATCGTTAGCGTTAGTTAGGACCTATTCTTGGGAACTATGGCTTATGCCGTACAGGTTTAACCCGTGAGGTCTCTCTTTGATCATCTCAGCCTCCTTATTTCTTTCGGGGCTACAGCACTTCCGATTCCGAGTCCGAGCGATGAAGCTTTTCGAGAAAGGCCCTGGAGAGCAATCAGCTCACTGATAGGCGCATATAGAGATGGCTCCGTGGAAGTTGCCGTTGGTTTTCTTCAATTCATTTATTCCCAATCAAGGTTTTCCTAAAACGAAGACCTGAAACAGCATCTATCTCAGCTCGTCCGGAAAGAGGAGCGAGAGAAATCCAATCCTCAGATAAAACGAGGACACCTGTGCAGAATCAGCATTTGGAGCAGGTCAGCCTCGAATAAAATCTTTACGAAGGGTCAAATCACCTGGACTCCAAGTCTAGGGTTACATCTGCATTTTCGGGTTCCCTCTCGTCTACCACTACATTCTTGCACTAAAAAAGCCTTGTAAACACCCCTCCTCAAAGGAACCATGGCAAGCTACTGGAACGAACCTAATTCAACAGACAAGAAAAGCCCCAGGACGAGAGACTCCCAAAGGAGGAGATAAAAGACTTGGCACCTTCCCTTATTCTCCTTCCTTTCCTTTTGGTAGTGCTAACTAATCGAAAATCTCCTTAGGCTATTAAGGATCGCCTTTCACCTGTGTGATGCAATTCTTTAGCGGGGAAGTTTTCGTTTGCTGGTATAAGCCACCCTTCTGTATAACTTGCGCCGGGAAGGAAAAGAAAGCGGGGAGAAGGTCTCAGTGTAGTCGATGTCCTCTTTCAGAGTGAACCCCTTGGCGTGGCGACAAGCCTGGCCTTCTATCTCTCAATCTTGCCTTTTGATTCCCTATTGGTCTTCTCAATTTACACCCTACGGGCTTGGCTCATTTTCTTTCTCTGGCTTTCAGAGTGAGTGGGTTAAGGAGCCTTTTTCCGCCTTTCGTCTTTCCAGTCAAGCAGTGGTTCCTGCTCTTGCCTCTCATGAATCTACTCGACCATTCCGGAATGAGTGAGCTTTTGTATCCGTATTGAAGAATCCGGTTATCGACTCGGCAGCTATTGAATCTAAGCCAATTGAATCAGCAACCGCTGGTACAGTAAGCGGTGTTCAAATAGCCGTTGTTGGGATCTTCTCCGCTGCTAGCTCTTCTTCTTACTAGGTTCTGCTTCCTCATAGTTCTCTTTAACATGATTCTCTCATACGCACTCCTATTAAAGGAGTTAGGAAGCCAAGATCTGATCTGAGTAGTTCTGGTAGCGCCCTGGTAGCCAATGAGCGCTTGTCTGGTATCGAATGAGCTCAAGTAGTTGAGTAGCTAAAGGCGTTGCCTTAGAGGAAAGAATGTCCTATCTTCGGATAGCTTCCTACAGACTTCTTCCCTTATTTATGGAAGTTCCTGGATTGTGTGAAATAAGAACAGAGGGTATTTTATTAGCAGCTCAAGCTCCATTTCAAAGGTGAGGAGTGAACCTTCTGGCTGATTCAATATCACCGGAGTCTGCTCAGGGTTCCAAACCAGCAGCGAAGTTTATTTTCTACGATACACTGGAATCGGGTCTATCTTAAGCGGGAAGAAAGCCTACCGACGGGTATGAGTTCAATACAGGGATTCGGCATTCAAGAACTCCCTCCCAGCCATCCTATCTTGTTTGTGTAAAAATAGCTTTCAGGCCAGTACTCTTTCTCTCCTGGAAGCGAAGGCAGGAGCAAAGCCTATTGATTCACCTGTTTGCTAACCTACTTGTCGGCTACCCGCACTCTGTAACCAGAATAGGGCTCTGGAGTGAATACCCGGTTCATCGGAACTTCAACCAGAAGAGGTAGGGTCGGGTTCCTGGTATAGGTCTCAGAAAGTCAGTAGAGCTAAATAGAGGTAGACTTTACTTCTATGCGTACTGAGCTTCGGTGTCTTCTTTGCTTTTAAAGAACATCCTCCGCTGCTAGCTGCTCTTGTCTTTCTTTTTCCTTAAGGATTGTCACGCGATTCAGTCAGTCGATCCTCAGACTAGAGTCACGGAGTGACTAAGCCCATCCCCAGTCTTGACACAAATGGGCTTTCAGACTTCAAGAAAGCACTGTGGGGAGGGGAAGTCAGAGGATAGTCTTTGTAGCGAGTCTAAGAGCAAGACTTTTCTTTGAATGGAAGCAATTTCTTCTGGTGACACGGCCCTTCGGTGAGGAATCATTGTCACAAGGCGTCAGAAAGAGTCACCAAGGGTACCGATCAGATGTGGGATAGAGCTCCATTAGGTTCTTCTTCAAGGGAGTGTAGTCTAAGGCTGACTGGTGGGCTTTGCCATCCTGTTCAAAAAAAGGGGGATTGCGGGGTCTTCTCAACGATTGAGATCTCTGCTGCTGGAATGATCCAGCCCTTGGTTCATTGCCATCTTTCACCGCTGATTCCACTTGAGCAATCGCAGCTGAGTCAACCTCTCGTTTAGCCCTGCCTCCAACTGCTTCAATAGCTGCGGTTCATTTTCCTTTCCTGACTCTCACAACGTATGATGATTCTTAGGATGAAGATGCTTTCACTCCTATTAACTATAAGGGTTAAAAAGAAGTCTTTGCTGTAGGAGACCGAGCCATTCAAGAAGAAAGAATGGATAGCCTTGAAAAGAAGGGATTCAATCATGTCACTGATAGTCCTATATGCTATGCGGCATCCTTCACAGTCAACTATTAAAGATTCAAATCGTCTTCTCGGACATTTCTTATTGAATAGCAAGCCCTTCTAAAGTTCGATAGCAGCTTATGGACTCCTATTCCTGCTTGAAGGAAAGTCACAAGTTCTCAGTACTCTTCGATTTCGTTCAAAGCCCTCCTACTGCTCCTGCTATTGCTAGAGGGATCTTACGAGAAAGCTAAAGCCCCCTCCTACGTCTCTTTCAGTGAGCTACATCACTCCAACTTATGGTTCTCTGGTTGCTGCTCTTTCCGTTGCAGGTATAAGCGCTGCAAACATGGCTACTTCAAGCTCTTTTCGGAAGGTTTGTCAAACGTCACTTCTGGGATGAAGGGACTTCCCTTGAAAGAGGGGGAGAAAGACAGTCAAACAGTCTTTTCGCAGGGTAAGGCCGGGATTAGCCTTATATTTTATGTGATAAAAGAGAAGACGAGAAGAGAAGACAATAGGTAAGTCTATACAATCTCACATATGCTAAGAGAGAACGGAAGACAGACAGACAAGACAGAAAGAAGTCTGGAGCAGGGAAGGAATTCATACTACCACACGCTCATTCAATCACTTCTTACCTTCGGGTTAACCTATCATTAGCAAGTAAAGCAGTTAATGGACATATCTCTTTGGCTTGTAATCGATAGACTGACTAATTCAGTCTAATTGGCCTATAGGTCTTAGAGACTCTTCCTAGTGTAAGAGCAGCGTTGATAAGCTAGTTCCGTGCTAGCACTATCAATTGTCGGCGTAACGAGTGTTTTCTAGACTATATATTCGACATGTAATACCCGCTCTCCGCCAGTCGGGAGATTGCCACCAGTTACTCTAGATTTATAACATCTCCGGCATTGGATCACATCCTTAACGATCAAATGTCTTTCATCCGGTCCTTTCCCGGCTTTATTTCAGCTTTCGGTTTACTCGCTCGCCTCTTTCTTCTGCATTCGAAACTGCCGCTGCAGCATCTTCTGAACCTCGCCCCTCTGGTTTAAGTGGATTCCCTTGCGAAAGGGATAAAGATATTCCCAGGTTGACTGACTTTCTGTTTGAAAACAGGGAACCCTTGGAAGCGAAAGAAAGTTATAAAGTTACACTCCTACAGCTTAGCTATTGGTTCAACTAAAGCTATTGGGGCAAAGCCAACTCTTGTCAGTCTAGTTAGTACCATAATCCCTATCCATATCAGGCGAATTACCTCGTGCCTATCCTTTTCTTTTAGTCTTGCCCACTGCCGGTCCCCTCCTCATAGTCTAAGTCGAAAGCTGGTCGTCCCCCTTTGCAGCTTAGTCTAGCAATTACTCTCGCTTCACTCCTATCTCAAAGCTTCGTCCCTTGTATCAGAAGCATCCCTATCTGGTTCTCGAATCTCTAGAATCAGACTCTTCCTTATTATCGTACCTTTTGTTCCTCGAAAGATGATTGAAAGCATGCCAAGTAGACTAGACTCTCCCCTCAATCCTTCCCTTCGCTCTTCGCCCCTAAGCTAGCAAAGAGCTCCGTAACCCAAGACTTCTGAGTCAAACTAGCATTTAAAAAAAAAGTTCACTCCTTCCGATTCCGATCTAGGCTAGGCCTTACGCTCCTGATAGAGTTAGTTGGTAGACCGATATGATGTGATTGAGAGTGCTTCTTTTCCAGGCTCCTCCGATGGTAGTGGAAGC